GCCTAGCCTCTCTCTCTCTCTCTCTCTCTCTCTCTCTCTCTCTCTCTCTCTCTCGTCGACTAATCGATCGGCTTTCAAAAGGTGAAGTCTCTTCCTTCGCCCCCTCTCTGGTGGTCTGGCGGTCATGTCCTCAAATCCATACAGCCTCCCTCCTGGAATTTTCAACCGGCGGGAGAGCATTGGTCGTTCATGGCCATCCGATGGGGTAACTCTGATGGCCAGACCCTGGCCACGTCAAAAATGTTCTCGAGAACTACGAGATCGAGTCGCTTCCTCGGGGATTCACAAACCGCGCGCATTTCCAGACCGGCGGAATCACGAACCAGAGATTCGCGAAGTTGAAAAAACCGAAAAAAAAGAAGTTCAAAAAAAAAAAAAAAAAAAGTTGACGTGGGCGGTGGCCAAGCCCCCGAAAGCGACAGTGGCAGGGTTACAAAACCGACCCAGAATTTCACGAATGAGATGGCGGGAAAAGTCCAATCTTGTAACCCCGACCCAGACGGGCGGGAAAAGTCTAATCTTGAATCAAATGGCGGGCGGGACACGTGGTGTGTTGCAGAGGTTGCCTTGCATCACAAGCTCGCCTCCAGACGCTCTTTTTGGGCCTGATTGGACCACTCGCCATCCACAAAATTCTGAACGAATCTGAACAGGAAATTCACCCTGATGCATTCAAAAAGTTGGCGGGTGGCGTGTAGTGCAAGTGATAGACCCCGAAATCGGGTGGCGCAGCCTGTTGGTGGAGGGGGGGGAAAGCCCAGGGCCAGAATCTTCACAAAGAAGATGGAACTCTTGGGGCCAGGGGGATGCGGTTGCATGCGGTTGCCTTAGAGCTCGAGGTTTTTTTTTTTTTTTTAACCCCCGCCAGTGTTAGTGCTGCTGAATTGCGGAGGGGGAGGCGGCGGCCGCGTAAGGTGCGCTAATCGGCGCGTTAGCACTCGGTTCCAGCACGGCTCGTCGTTTGACGGGCCTAACCGGCGGCAGGTGTTTCCGACGTGGTCTCACAGCCGCGGGTGGTAACCTACCAGTTCCCTTGTCTCGTCGAGGGCCTATGGCGATGGCTGTAGTTGAGGTTGGTTCCAGCGGTTAGAGTGTCTCGTCCGTCGCCTTCCTGCTTAGCACTGTCGAGCTGAAGTTGAAGCGTTGTGCAATCCTTGGTGCCTTTTGTTGTTTAGCCTTCCTACAGAGGGCGATAGTAATTCTGTGTCCTACCTCCAGGAGGGTGAAAGGATGGAGGTGGAACCGCCTGGTCAAGGCGAGAAAGATGGGAGGGCACAAGTTCCGGGTGACTACCGTTGGAGGAGGAAAGAGTCAGGGAGATGGTCAGGGCTTGCTTGAGGAAGGAATCCTTCCAACGAACATTGACCCTGGTGAGATGGAGGTTACTGGGAGAGAGGTGAAGTTTACGCTGAATGCCTCCTTGGATGAGATTAAAGTAAGATGGTTAAAGGAAAGAACGGTAACGGTTATCTTTCGTGACGGTGCTAGATTCCTTCCCAAAAAAGTGAAGGAGGATGTAGTGAGAGCNAAGATGGTTAAAGGAAAGAACGGTAACGGTTATCTTTCGTGACGGTGCTAGATTCCTTCCCAAAAAAGTGAAGGAGGATGTAGTGAGAGCGTATGAGGACGTGTGGGTTAGAGATGATGTGTTTGGAGAGGAGTTTAAACGAGGTAGGATAAAAGTGGAAAGCCCGAACGTGGTTTCCTATGTTCCTAGAGCTCAGGAAATTACCGATTGGATGCTGCAGAAGAAGACGGACTTTATTGACTTGGCGGGTACCACTTATCGTACTGAGTTTAAGCCGTGGTTGACTCGTGCCGAAATCCGTGATTGGAGGCAGTTAGTGGATCAGAATGCGTTCAAGGTAGTAGCGGTTGGAATCCCGTTGGACGAAATGTCGTTCATCCATGTGCACATCGAGAAAGCCTGAGGCGGACGATACCGATCCGAAACTGGTCAATTTGAGGTTCGACATTGACCCCGCATTCAGGGATAACATGAAGGACAAGTTTGCGGTGCAAACCTGCCAAGGGGACATCTTGGAAGTCAAGCTAGCTGGATCTGATTGGTGCAGAAGATGCCACTCCTTCTTCCACACAAAGACGACATGCCGACGCACCGACCGGCGCGACCAAGGCGGAATCAATATTAATCAACCTCAAGCTTCAATGACCGGCACACGACAACCAAGACCAAGTTATAATGGGGCCATGCAAGCCCCGGGAGCTAACGCTCAGCCTGTTGTTCAATCCGGCATCGGCCCCTCGAATGTTCCCTTGTCGCCAGTGTTCAGGGTCAATCCCAGCTTCTCCCCGTCGGGAGGGCAGCTCCAGCAATAAGGAGGTCAAGCGTAAGGTCGGGGACAAGGACAGATTCTCTCGGTTGATGCCTTGTGGGCAGCCTATTTTAGCAGTCTTCCCCAGCCACTTATGGCAGGGTTACAAGCTCGCATGGGACCAATGCACTACCAAGTGGGGACGAGCCTCTCGATGTCGAATTTACACGCCTTCTCTCCTTGGGTGTCCTCAGCACCCCCTCAAGGCGGTCTGCCAGCTAATCGCGAAGGTTCCCTTCATCAGCAGATGAGATCGCCCTCAGGGGCGAGTCTCCCAAGAGCCAGTGGAAGCTGCCTACGCGGCGAATCCCCAGGTAAGCAGAGAAGATTGAGTGAGGGAGATGTGGATATCCAAGTGGACTTGCAAACTGAAAACTCTGGCAGCTCAACTGGTTCACAGACGATTCCTTCATCGACAGGTAAGCGCAAATCCTCTCGTTATTGTATGGATGCCTTATCCAAGGGTCAGGCTGTGGTCGAATCTAGGGTCTTACCATTGTTCTGCTCATCAGTCAGGAATGGATTTTGGCTCATCGCTTGGGTTGGGATAGAGGGTGTACCCCTCTTGTTGAACTCAATCTGTCCTGAGTCTCCTATGCCCTATGCTACGACCACCATGGCCACATCCCTAATACGGGATAAATTCTCAATTCGGCTCGTGGAAGCCCCGATGCCAAGACTTTTGGTCGATATTGAAGGTAGGAGATGTCGTATCTATGTTCCCCTGTTTGACGCCCGTTTCCTACCCAATCAGTTGGATCAGCTCGAACAGGAAGACTTTCGGCTCTTTCCTCTGTCCTGGTTCTCGGAAGGGAGGAAACCAGAGCTGCGAAGGCTCAGGGTTTCTCCTGCGAAGGCTCAGGGTTTCTCCCTCGATTTTGGCAGAATTCCTATCTGATCTGAATATGAAGTTGGGAAGGGAAAAGAAACTGGACTCTCACTTCTTGAAACGTTATTTAACTGAAGCGTAGCCCTCCACCAATCTGCAGGATGGCTCCCAGATCCAAGTTCCTGGTGTAATCGGCCCTGATGGGCAGGCTTAAAGAGGCTACGTGGAACCTTCGTGGTTTAGGAGATTCATCAAGCAGGAATAAGAAAGGTCGTTTGAAAAGTTGGATGCATACTAACAAAATTGATATCCTATGCGTTCAAGAAAACAAACTTGCGGAGAATAAGATTGTTGGTTTAGGTACATGGTGGGATGGGCCACAAATTTGGTCGCCAGCGATGGGCTCGAGAGGGGGAGTTGCCATCCTAATCCATAGAGACCTGCAAATGGAAATAATAGATTTTTGCGTTGACCTATGGGAAAAATGGGCTTGGGTTAAGTTATGGGTGGGAAATCAGGAATGGGTAATTGCTTCGATTTATGCTCTGATTGACGTATCCGCACGAGTCAATTTTTTTGTTGACCTCCCCTTGTTTATCCCGAACTGCGATCACCTTATCCTTGCTGGGGATTGGAATACGTCGATCAATAAACAGGGGGGGTCCGTGGTGGTCGGGATGTCGTAGCCCTAACTAATCTAATGACTGACCTTGACCTGATTGAGCCTTACCCCTTGTTGCATCCCACAAAGCCAGGTTATACCTGGTTTTCGAATGTCAGAGACAATATTGGGACGATTAGCAGAAGACTAGATTTCTTCTTGTTTTCACCATCCGTCTGGCATGCCACTGTTCGGATAAAGGAAACCCAAAATCCAGTATCGGATCATAAGCCTGTTGTCGTTGTCCTGAATGTTCAAAAGTTGGAAAGAGGTCCTGGTTACTTTAAAGTCAACACCCAGATCTTGAAGGACCCCGGGGTGGTTGATTGGATGGAGAGATTTTGGTTGGACTGGAAAGAAAACGAGGTCTCCTTCCAAACTTGAAGAGTATTGGGACGCTGGGGTCCGCGTTTTTTCAAACCACTTGCATATTTTTTCACGCATCCTGGCTGCGAAGCGAAAAGATAAAAAACAAAACCTTATTCGAAAAGTCGAATATGTCGAATCTCGTATGAGGTGTCATCCAATCTCTAACTTGGTTTGGGGCCCCATCAGAAGGAAATACCTTGCTGAGTGGGACACCTTCCAAATTGAGGAGTCGGATGCTTGGGCTGAGCGCTTGAAGGTAAAAGGAATTGTTGTTTACGATCGCATGTCCCGTGAAAC